TTTAAAAATGCAAATGTTACGAACTAGGTAAGTGAGGTGTCATTTTCTGTGTATTTTTTGAGCTGAATCGAATGAAGAGTGAGTTCAAATCTTACATTCTCGATAATAATTTATAATCTGGGTAACTTACATAATATTGTAAATTTTTGCGTTTTTTTTTTAGCTTTGTTATAATTTCTGGGTATACCTTTTACAGCTGTCTACTTGTTATCTGAGATGTTATGATTATTATATATTTGTGTTTTCTTTCCAGTTGACGATGTCAAAGACTATCCACTAAGTAGTTCCTTGTATTTAGTGATATGGGTCCTTATCGCGTATCTACTATTTGTTTCAAAAATTGGACCAAATCACATGAAAAATCGAGCGCCGTACAAACTAAAGAACTTCGTTTTGATATACAATCTGTTCCAAGTAATCGCATCTGCGTATTATACGTATCTGGTGAGATTTCATATTTTTCAAACAAACGATAAAAAAATGTTTCCCGATTTAAAAGTTTTTTTTTGAATAAAAATTTATTTTGACTGTGACTATTTTTTTCGAATTAATTTTGGGATACAGTTGTCATTTACAATAATAACCGAAATATACATTTACAATAATAAAATCATAAAAACAATGTGGCAAAAGACCAACGGTGTTCCTATCATTAGAGGATAAACAAAACGAAATGGGATAGATAAGCAGAGCCTTTGGGCTATACGTCCAGCCTTAATGTCACGCTTCTATGACTTATGCTTATATTTGTGGATGGAATGAAATTAAGCGAAAAAATTATAAATGTTACGTGTGAGCCAGGGCGTGTTCCTATTGTTAGTAAGTAGAATATATTAATATAAAAATTCCGTTTCAGGCTTATGAAATTTTGTATATGACGGGTTTCCTACCAAAAATATGCAACCATCGTGATCCGATATTGCGAGAAAAAGTAAGTATAAACAAATTTATTTCAAACGTTTCACAGATTTAAATCTTTGTGTGTGTGTGTGTGTGTGTGTGTGTGTGTGTGTGTGTGTGTGTGTGTGTGTGTGTGTACGCGAGCGTGTATGCCTGCGTGTGACTTTCTTGACTTGTGACGCTTACGAACAATTACTATAGTCTTTCTATACTATAATAAAAACGCAAGCGATTGATGTCTGTACTTTGAAGATATATGAAAAAAACTGTTACGAAGGACATTTATAAGCGCAATAGAACACAAAACAATGCTTTTTAAATTTTTTGTCTGTTTGTCTGTGCATTTGTGCACGATAATCTGAGAAACGGCTGAACCGATTTAAATGCAGTTTTCACTATTATATTGCGGTATTCTTCTAAAGATTTAGTGTAAGATTTATTTCAATCGGTTCACAAATAAAAAAGTTATGTCAATTTGAAGTGACGTGTTCGCAAAAATTGCAAAATTTTCGTCTTTGATATATTGATCATCATCATTAACTCTTTCATAGCCAAACTGCAGGGTCTCAGGTCTTTGTATAATAACTTTTTAATCACCCATCCCGTGAACAACTCTTGCGAAAATTGCTTAACAATAGCGATCATGCGCAGCGGCGCTTCTCCGTAGCGCCACCGAGCTACGAATTAATATTGTCTATAAAATAATATTTTGACTTCTCCAAAGTAAGTTGACCTCATTTATATATGTCCAATGATATTAAATAGGGTTCAGCTTAAAATGAATGGACGCGAGTAGGAGAACAAGCGAAAAGAGCCTTCCGATGATGCAATTAAGCATCGAGTAGTTTACAATGAAAGAATATTTTTATCAGATAAGGTTCATGTCATCGTCGGGGCCAGCGGAGGTGGTTGGCTACCGCCCCCGCATTGCACGGTTTCGTCTGTCTGGCAGAGGCACTCGATTTACCCGAGCCTCTCCAATTTTCTATCTGCAAGGGGACCGATGGTCCAATACTTGAGTGTTCTGGTGACTCGGCCATAGCTTGCCGGGTTTCATCTCCCATGAGAGAGTGTAGCGTACGGCTTTTGGTGGGTAGGCCTCTGGGGACCCACTGGGCAGCTCACTGTCGGGTTCACGGAGGAGAATCTTACTCACACCCTGTTGCTTGCCAGGTAACAGAGACAATGTCAGAAGCTTTTCCACGACGTTAAAAAAGTTAGATTCACGTCAAGTGAAGTTTGAACGTAAAGATAACTAGAGTTTTATATTTCTTTTTCTCTTATTACTATTTTTATGTTAATACTCTTTTTGTTTTTTTTAACATATAAATTGCTGTAGATACGTACTTCAAAGTTGGTATTTTCAGTCTTCGCTGGAAACAATAGTTTATTCATTCAGCGCCATGGCCCACGATTGTAGTTGTTAAGCAACTTTCGCAAAGGTCGGTCACAGGAGGGGTGACCAAAAAAAAAAATTATCTCAAGCAACTCTAAGCTTCGGAAGACACGTAAGTAAAGCGATTGGTCCCGGTTGTATTTGAAGTCGTTAATATCCTCCAATCCGCATTGGGCCAGCATGGAGGGTCGTGGGCCATCCTCCTTAACCGTTCATAAGGAAGGTCTGAGCTCCTGCAGTTAGTGACGTAAAAGGGCTGATGATGATGATGATGAGGGCCGTTCAAATCTGACGGAAGCACAGTTAAGCACCTCTCGGAATATTGTATAAGTAGACGATTGCCTTCGAGAGTGGAAAGTCGAAATTAAAATATGTAGGGGAAGTTTGGCACCATTCGTACACGGGGAACCTTAATACAGTCACTACTACATCTTGTAGAAAAGCCTATTTATAACGACTTTGTGTCAGTGGATAGGCGCCGGCGACTGCCAGTTGTCCACGAAGTTAGCCACATATGCAGCCACTGCGAGCGAAACTAGAGAACTTAAAGTGTTTTGGCATGCTCATAGTAATTATTTTGTTAATGTTTTTGGATCTTCTGTGCTTTAATCATACGTCAAATTTTATTGGATTATTGCTTAATCGTAAGTGAATACGATTAAGATAATAATAATATATCTATATTGTGTATATTTCTACGTGGGTTTTGTGTTAGAAAAAATAATTTTATTTTTGATCTTCGGGGCACGTTCGTACATTTCCAGAAAGGGCACATTCGTACGCGTATGTATGTACCCCCGCTAACAATTTGTATTATTATATCAGAAAATTTAGAAAAAATGATCGGAATTTTAAGAAGAAAAGGCAGACACGTTCCCAATATTAATTAAATTAGTTTTTTTTTGCGTATGTAAAAGGTGTTTTAAAATAGTAAAAAACAAATAGTTTTACTGAAATACTAATCAATTGAAAAAATTCAAAAACACATTTCGGACTTACGATATTGGAAGTCACAACACTATCAAATGATATGATAAAGTTTTGTAATATAAATGTTTGCAAAATTGTTATAAAACTGGCTTCGCTAACATAAAATGGATGCACGGTTTTCATAAAAAGATAGTTAGACTCTAAGCCTATATGTCGTTTAGTTTATTACATCGTTGATAAGTTTAAGATCAATGAAAACGATTTTTTAAATTAATTTGTTGTTTCACTTAATATATATGAAGTTACCACACTGTCTGAATGTTCCCCTGCCCATGTACGATTGTACCCCGTAATAGGGGTAGATTCGGACATTCATTAGCTTTTAATAAAATTCAATCCTTTGATATATTATACAAGATATAGACTTTGAACTTTTTAAATAAGGACCAGAAAGTATGCTTTATGTTTTAATAAGTAATTGAGTAATTTATCTTTGATTATCAATATTTTAAAAATCATTGACTAAAAAGTGTACGAATGGTCCCAATCTTCCCCTAAATATATTTTTTTATTTCATCAAAAAATAAAACTCCACGTATCTTCTGTCTGACACACATGTTCAGACATGTACCGACCGACTTTTATTGACATAAAAAGAGATCGGACGGAAAGCGCTCGGTCTCGGGAGACACCTGAAAAACGCGAAGCGTATTTAACTGCCCATCGCGAGGCAGTATAAAGTTGAATCCAAAGCATTTACTGACAGGGACAATCTCTTGAGCTCTCGGAGATTTCATACAACAAGCGCTTGATCTCAGGAAACTTCTGAAGATCGCCAAGCGCGTCTAACTGCTGATAGAGAACTACCTTTGATAGAGAAATGCACTTGGTCTCTGAAAGAGTTCGCAGTTTGCGCAATAGAGATCGAGAAAGTAGTTTCGATATCGCCAACCCGTGTTGCCTTCATACTTCAAAGGCGTACCGCAGATAAGTTTTCACGGGATATAATGAACTAGCTGTTTTCCCGTGATTTTGCCGCAAAATTATAGCCTGTGACATCCGCGTCTGATGTAGTTTCCCGTAGGTCAGAATCGCTCTGAAACTATCGGTCCAGTAGTTTTGGAGCAAGTTCGATGCAAACAAACAAACAACCAAATCTTTCCTCTTTATAATATTAGTATAGCTTAGGCATAAGGGGTCCGATGGCGTAGTGGGTTAGCGCATTCGGATTAAATTGCAGTTAAATAAGTAAGTAAATACTGCACAACAAGGACATACATGAATACTTATTTTACATAACAAGTACAAAAGACAAACTCATCGCTAGCCAGTGATTCCATGCAACCTTTAGGATTACATGGAAAATAGAACGATAAATAGCCGATTGTGCATACAACTATAGGTAGATAAATAATAATAATTTAAAAAGAGCAAAAACTAAAGAAGGACAGTTTAAAGGCACGAATAAAATGCTCAGACACAAGCGACAACCAGAGCGCGAGAAACGAGAAAAAAGATAGAAAAATAACATCCTTAAGGACCGTTCACAGGATGGGTGACTAAAACATTATTATCTTGAGCACTGTGCACAACACTGGCAGAATGCACTTTAAGCCGTTAGTTCTAGCTGAATCGGCAATGTTAACCCACCGATCCGCATTAAGCCCGCATAATAGGTTATGACCCTCATAGTGCACAGCTAGTTGAGTAAATATAATTCAACATAATTTGTTGACTTTGTGATTTATGGTCAGTTTTTCTTCAAATTTGCGAAGAAAAAGGGATAATTTTTTTAGAAAATAAATGTTTCCACTTCATTTCAGATGTCTTACTGCATTTACGTGTACTGGTTGGGCAAGGTCACTGAACTCCTGGATACCATTTTATTCGTCTTAAGAAAAAAGTATAATCAAGTAACATTTCTTCATGTCTACCATCACGCCTCTACCATGTTCGGTACATATCTGCTGTTCCTTTACGATCAGAGTGCTTCAGCCATCTTCTTAGTGTTTATCAACTCCTTAGTACATGTGGTCATGTACTTTTACTATGGATTATCCGGTCTCGGCCCGGAAGTTGCCAAGTATCTATTTTGGAAGAGACATATTACCAATTTTCAAAGAGTAAGTATACTTTTAATAACCTAAGAGATTATCTGGGGGCATGGAAGTGCACCCGCCATATCGAGCAACAAAGTAAAAAGAGCACAGCCGTACTAGTCTTTTCTTGAAGCCATTCGAGCCATATTTGACCCCCTTTAACTTCGTTGTAGAGTAAACTAGAAGCCTAAATTTTCAGTGACCAAGAGGGCATCATACAAAGAGGCACATTTCCAAGTCACATTAAATTTTAACGAGTACTTTAGGAATAATTGCAATTCATAATACCTAAATTTTGTCACTGACTGACTCATAGATCATCAAAATTCTAAGGTACTTCTAGCAGACCCACGGGCTCCAAATTTTGAACATTTTTATAATTTTGCATACAAAGTAAGGAAAAAATCTAGCATTATGAAATATTTATCCCGTTTTTAGATTTTTTATTATTTATAACTGTAGAATATTTTGAAAAGATCCATCAATGTGTTGTTTAGTAACACAAACCGAAGAGAACTTTACAAACATTTACCAAAGAGTAAATAAAACATACATATTTAAAATCTATGATAAGGAAACTATTATCATAGGAAAAGCTTTGGACATTTTGATCGTGATCAAAGTTTGGAAAAGCTATTTAAATTTAGACATGATTATGCATAGATATATAAATGTATGTGGCGTATATATAGAGTGGACCAACGAACAGCCAACAGACAGAATCAAATGGGCTTCGTGATATAATTATACATAAGGGACAAGGGCTAAGTTGATTGTTCAGTATTTACATGGGGTCAAGCATATGTAGAGTAGATCGGAGGCATAGTGGATAAGCGCCACATTAGCGATTGTTGTCGTTAACCAACTTTCGCAAGGATCGGTAACGGGATGGGTGACCAATAAATTATGATCTCGAGCTACTCCGCACGTTAAGCCGTTGGTTCCGGCTGCATTTGCAGTCTTTAATCCGCATTGCGAAATAAAGAAACATACAAAAAAAAATAAAGATACACGTGTTTAATATTCATTAATAATGGACAAACAAACAATTCGACATCATTAGTATTAGAATTAATAACGTTAAAACAAAAATAAAATACTATTATTTTATTATTATTAGGACATTGCCTTTCTTCCCTTATTTTTTTGACAACCTCCGTAGCCGAGTGGTTCGCAAGCCGGTTTCAATGTGTCGCCATCTGTGTGGTTCCGGACTCGATTGCCGGTCGGGTTAATGTAGAAAATTGACTTTATTGTTTCGGGTCTAGATGTTGTGGTACCTCCGTTGTCACAGATACATCAAAATACGGAGCTTTAGCTACTCATCTTGGAATCCACAGAAATAACTTTTTATTCCGTGTTAATATTTACTTGCTTTCAGGTTCAATTTGTGATGCTGTTCATCTGTAAGATCATCGATGCATTCTTCACAATATGTGACCACAGCATTTTCGGGATTATCTATTTCATGTTTTCACTTCCTCTTTACTTCTACTTGTTTACTAAATTTTATAATGAAAGTTACGATAAAAAGAGTACCTAAAAAAATGCTCTATATTGAAAATCAGACATTAGTTTTAATGTGAAATGCGTCATATTACTTTGTAGGTTCTACAGACCGATAGTTATCAGCTGACTGTAATGAAAAAAAATTGCGTCTATCAGTTTATAATAATTAATTATTTATTTATAGGTACAAAGACTTGTCAGCCAAAAGAATATTACATTGTTCATTCATTAAATATAAATCATTAAAAAAAATCTATACCAAATACAAAGTGAGTCAGACAATCTAATATTGTGTCAAAATAATAAAAATACATTTGATATATATTATTTCCAATGCCAACTAACAATTTAAACAATCCTTCGTTACATAAAATCAGCATAAAATTTTTACAACATTCATACATAAAATACAAAAAAATAATTAATAAGTTATGATATCCAATGTCAATTTTATTATGAAATTATTTTATTATAAATTATTTGTCCATATCATCTAAAATAGTCCGAAAACTAGTCATGAGAAGTGCCAAACTATGTGCGAATATGTCAGTTTCATCGTACCGAGCGACTACATCACCTATCAGTGCTATCGCGCGGTTCGTTAATTTCGATGTGGAGCCACCTTTTCCTCTTCACTGTGCAACAAATATCTGGGTACTTTAAGTCCGATTCTGCCTAATATTGACGGTGCCTCCAACTTATTGTGCAATACAAATAAGTAATGTCTCATCATTGCCATAATCCGCCTAAACTTAAAAGTCTTCAACCCTACCATACCCGAGACAAACATGAAAGGATATAGATAAGGATAGCAGCCATATAGTTTTTTATAAAGTCATCGAGCGAATTTCCGTTTTACCCTTTCCAGCAGTAAAACATATTTCTCTTCGTACGGAATCCAACAGCGGCAGCATATTCGAGCTTGCTACGAACATAGCGTTATATAATATTTTTGCAACTCTTACATCATCAAAATCAGCAGCAGTTCTAATGGCGAAGTCTAAAGTCTTATAATTATATGTAATCGGGTCTTGTTCGTGCATTTTTTAAAACAATTAATTTACCGTGGAGAACTGGTGGGTGTCGTCTTGTGATTTTAGTTGAGGCGTGAGGGTAATCCGGTAATAATGTTCTTGACAAATTTTCAGATGTACCCTCCACTTGATTTTATTGTACGTAAAGGTGGCGACACACTGCACTTACGGTATCCGAGAATATTGTTCATGGTTGTTTGCGATCGCGACACTTACACATTTAAAAAAAACATTATTACCGGATTACCCTCACGCCTCAACTAAAATCACAAGACGACACCCGCCAGTTCTCCAGTCTCCTCGTGACCACGGCTGCTGTAACGTAGCCGAAACGTCGAGGTAAATTAATTGTTTTAAAAAATGCACGAACAAGACCCGATTACATATAATTATAATGTATACAAATCGTGTGAGTCTAAAGTCTTACTAGCTGATTTAGCAACTGAAGTTACGTGAATGTGAAAATCTAATTTTGCATCTAACATTACTCCTAGGTCATGTAGTGCAATTTACTCTAAATAAATGGACATCAAATAAATTATTATTTACATTTAAAAAATAATAATAATAATTCTATTACGTTTTAGTGAAAATGTGATTATTTTACATTTGCTCTCATTAAAAGAAAGACGATTAATCTTACTCCAGTTTGACATAGCATCTATATCATTTTGCAAGGCCCTAACATCAATGTCGTTACCAACACCTAAGCTTATTTTAATATCATCAGTAAATAGAAGGCATTCCGCCGATTTAATATTATCAGGCAAATCATTTATAAAGATCAAGAATAGAGTTGGCCCAAGAGCGCTACATTGACCTCTTTAACCATCTTAAGGAAGGCCTGAGTTCCTGCAGTGGGAATGTAAAAGGGCTGATAATGATAAATTATTATAAAATATAAAATAGAAATTATTCCATGTATGTAAAAGAATAAAGAAGACAGGTAATGTCAACATTAAAATATTTTGTTAGTTCCATTGCTTATTAATTGTATAACTTTCAGTCAGAAAAAATCAACAATTCTTTTTTTGTGATATTATTCCTTACACCCTTTTATGAGGTTTTGTACAAAAAAACAAAAATCGTTAAAATGCAGATCCCACATTAATGATAGGGCGTGGCGATCTGTGCCCGGAGTATTGCGTGACACAGCGATGCCTGGAGCTACTTTGTTAAGTGCACCCGAAAGAAAACGGTACTTACATCTGTACTACGTGCAGGAGGTGACAACAGATGAGCAAGTGCGTGATCATCTCAATGCAGCGTGTAGGGGATGTATGTTCGGTTAAAGCATTAAAATCACGCGGAAAGTACGCATCTTTTAAACTTGGTGTGCTAATCAAGTATAATTATATGTGCCTTTCCTTGTATATAATAAAGAATTGTGTAAGTATTACAGATGACATGTGAAAAACCTAATTGCAGTGCATAGAGGCAGCACATACATAAGACACAGAGTAATATTATTGACGAACCAGTAAAGTTCCAGGAATACGTAAAAGATAAGAAAAAAAAATTACAACAAGTAGATTATTTTATGTTAAACTCTGATGTAGTAACGGGACAAGATGCATCCGAAGCATATGCACGATATTTCAGTTCTGTTTTCTTGGACGTAGTTCCTCGCTTAGATGTTGTAGAGGCTGACCGAGACCGAGATCATCAGGTGGCTCTGACAGTGTACCGGGTTTTTTAGTTAAGGATTGCGTATCTGTTCTCGCGACGCCTCTGCTATATTTGTTTAATCTCTCTTTGAGACAGGCTAAGTAACCAGTAACAACCTTTGGAAATTGTCTAAAGTAACACCAATTCCCAAGGGAGATCCTATTCCAAAGGTGACAGAATATAGGCCAATTGCAATATTATCTGTTTATGTAAAGCTCTTCGAAGCCATTATCAACACTGACATTAGTCAGCAGATAGGTAACCGGCTGCATAACAGTCAACACGGTTTTCGCAAAGGAGGTTCAACTACTACAAACTTAACGGCTTTAATTGACTACGTTTCCAGTGAAATGGATGCTGGCAGAGAGGTTGATGCAGCCTACTTTGATTTAAGGAAGGCCTTCGAGGTTTTTGATAATGACATTTTGTTGAAGAAGTTATTTATAATAGGTTATACGCCCAAACTTTAAAATTTTTTTACTAGCTATCTAAAGGATCGACGCCAGTTTGTAAAATTGAATGGATTTGCGTCAGTACACTTTTACACAAGGTCCAGTGTAAGTCAGGGTAGTACATTGGGGTTTACTCTATTCCTGATTATAATAAACGATCTAACTGAAGTGATGAAAGTAGCCGAGTGTCTCTTGTCTAGTGATGACCTTAAGTTATATTTGGGTGTAGAGAGCCAAGAAAATGCAGATGCACTGCAAAAAGACATAGACCCTGTGGCTGGGTGGAGTAAAAATAACTGCCTTCCCTATAATATTTTAAAATGTAAGTAAAAACCGCGCTCATACATGACCAGGGAAAGAA